CCAGGGCCCTCTCCCTGCACACAAGACCCACCCACCCCGCATGCTTCCGTGATGACACCCCGGTTTCCCATCTCCTCGTCTGAGACACCTGCCTGCTCTGACAGACCCTAAACACAGGAGGCATCAGGAGCTGGGCCCCGGCACAAGGTAACGGACTCCAGTCCTCGCACACCATCCCTTCAATCTGACTTACTGGAGCGGACAGCCAAGCTGTTCGCGGCGCAGACAGTTAATATGCACGAAGACTCTGCAAACATGTAGCGGGGAGACATTACTGCACATGGTGTAGGACAGGCTCGGGCTCAGCCGCTCGTTTTTATGATCCTGTTTAATTTGGATTTGCCAGTCTCCCTCTTATTATCCCGTGTGCCAGTCTTAATAATCAAGATCTATGTTATGTGCTTTGTGGCATAATTAAAGCTACTGCTTAATTAGAAAACCTACCTACCTCCAGACAAAGGGAAATCAATAATGTACCTGATGCGAGAAAGCAAGTGAAACTTTGGTTTGAGAGTGGACAGAATTGTCGGTCGGGGCAGGCACACATGCACACACATGTGAACACGCATTAACACATACACATGCACACATGCAGACACCCTAACACATGCAGACACGCGCACATGCACACGCACACCCACATCCCATGTGTGTTTCCAGTGGCCGCACCTGTCAGAATCCAACACAAGACCATTTCTCATTGGATGGGTGGGCTCCATGGGGATTAAGGCCGTTTAGGAAATCAAAATCTGACAGCTTAAGATGGGCATAGACAGAACTTGCATTTATGTATTTATCCAGTTAGTCATCCACAGATATTTGCTGAGGGCCTACTAAGCACCAGGTGTGGCTCCTGAAGTGTGGCCACACTAAGGCTCCCACAGACACCCACTGACGTCGCAAACCGAGAGGTCAGCATTCTGCAATGGCCCACCCTGGTCTTCCTCCTGCGGGCTCGTCACCAACAATTGTGGGACTACCTCCAGCCCAGCTCCTGGTCACAGCAACCCTGACCTGAGTCCCCATCCTGGCTCCTGGAAGGCCTCCACTGGTGGTCCTGGGCCAGGGACTGTGCCTGGGCCGTCAGGTAGGCTGGAATGGGGCCGCGGGGGTGCAGCAGCTGGCCCCGACTGGCATGTCTCTCCCTGCGTGCTCTCGGGCCTGTCCCCCGGCACTCGGAATGGGCACGTTTGGGCTTCCTCCCAACATGGCGGCTGCAGGACAGGTAGACTGCTTCTGTGGCAGCTCACGGGCCAGGGCCAGTGCTGGGCTGGGCAGGGTGGAGGCATTGGAAGCCCCACCGCATCACCTCTGCCCTCCTCTATTGGACGACCCGCCACAAAGCCCATCCAATCTAGGGGAGGGACACAGAGTCCACCCCTTGCGGCAGGGGAGGGGGCAGATTCTAGAAGACAGTCTCCCTTCCATGTTTGGCTTATGTGGAGAAGGTGAGAATCTGGGGGGAAATGCATGTGACACAGCAGGGCTCAGCAAACTACGGCTCATGGGCCCAAACCGGGTACTTGACCCTTCCTGCCTCGGCTTCCTCATCTGCAAAACGTGGGCACTGTCCATCCTCACAGCGCTGCTACGGGGTCAGCGCTGGTCCGCGGGCAGTGCTCTGCAGCACACCGGTCCTAAATAAGCCCTGGGGCAACCACTGGGCACCCCACTCGCTGAGCTGCACAGGGCCTGGGTCTTCCCCAGGATGGCTGGGGCCCATGTTCGAAGCCAAGGTCACACGCGGGCTGTCAATGCATAACTAAGCCCCACAACGCCGTCCGCTGGGGGATGGCAGCAAGTCCAGAGAGGCCCAGGAGCCTGGCGGGACAGCAAGGGCTCGGAAGGGCTTCTCTCTGGTTTCTAGTTCGTCATCCTCACACGCACGGGGTGGGGGGCCTGTGCATGTCACACTCATCAAAGCCTCCCCATTTCTTTTTGGGAAAGAAATGGATATAAATAAACATGTAAGAAAATGGAACCCACATTCTCTGTTTCAAGGAGGCGGAGAGCTGTGCCCCTTCCAATCAGTGTCTGTAAATCAGATTTCTATCAATCAAGGCCTATTGTAAACGGTGGCTCTTTCAAAGTTCGCCCTGACGTCTTCTTCCGTAACGTGAGGCTGACAGGAAACTGATCACTCCTGTCAGGTTTTATTTGGGCAGACAAAGCCTTCCTAAAGAGGGAGCCTCTGCCACGTGAGGGAAGGAGGCTGGGTCTCAGTCTCAGAAAGCACTCTGAGGACTCAGGGGTGTGCAGGGATGTGCCAGAGCATGAGAGCCCATTAAGAAGCAAGAAATATAATCCAAATGCTTGAGCAAAAGATTTAAAAATATATGTGTGTGTGTGTGCTAATTTACTAGAGCCTAGAGGACTCTCCATTTATTTATAATTTATTGCAATGTTGGCTTCAGGAACAGCTGGATCCAGGTGCTGCTACTATGGCACTGGAAGCTGATTCCTCCCCACCTCCCAGCTCTGCCACACCCTGCACTGGGTTTTTCCTTGGGTTCCACAGGTGGGCTGTGGGAACTCTAAGCTTTCCCCTCATAATGGTAAGATGGTGCAGCTCCCAGGTTCCCATTATTGCAGTTTCACTTTGGCTGAAAAGCCTGATTTTTTTACCCAGTGACCTCAGGTAATTCCAACATGCACTCTGATTGGACTGCACCCAGACCACATGACAGGCTTGAGCCAGGGGCTGTAGCTGGTGGACATAATGCTCTAATTGCCTTAATCCTGAGTCATGTGACCTGCCCTGCAGCTGGAACGGAAAGTTTCCACGGGTTCTCATGTGGGAGCGGAGCGCCCAAAGAAAGAGCACCAGATTTCAGGGAGGCAAACAACAGCATCTATGACACACACTCGCGTCTGTTCTATAAATGCAGCACTCTGACGCTGGAAGATGCAGCAGGACCGCCAGGAGAGCCCTGCCCCCAGCCCAGGGCTGGCGACAGCTGGACATCGAGAGGCCCAGCGCTCTGAACCCCGTGAGCTTATGGGAGGTGGGTGCCACTCACTTGCCAAGTCAACTACTACCCTGTGCACAGGAAGGGGTTAACACAGCAGGCCTGGCTTGTCCATAAACACCCTCCCTGCACAGGAAAGGTCTGGCCCTTGCCAGCTCCCAGGAGGTAACTTCTGAGTCCTTGGGACACCGTGCCTGACCACAGTGTCCTTGGTTCTGTGGGGCCTTGGGCCACGTGGGATGGTCTATACTGCAGTGTGATCTATGCTGGAGCCTGAGCCACAGTGTCAGCCTGACCTCTGGGGGCTGGGGACGAAGGTCGGTCAGCCACCAAAACCCTGGACAGCAGGGCTGAAGTGGGCCCCCTGTTGCCATACTCCACAGGGGTGGTCACTCGCCATAGCTGGGAGGGTCCCTCCCGCCTGCTCCCCCCGCCCTGCCCTCTGCACTCTTCTCCATGATGTCATTCTGTCCTTCAACAAACCCCAGCAGGAGTAAAACTGTGGTGCCCAGAAGCCCAGAGACAAGAACTCAACTCCAGCCGCTGAGGGAACCTTATTGAGGTCACCCTCCAAAGGTCAGGGCACACTGGGGAGCGCTCAGAAACTGCCATGCACACCCACACACGTGCACACACATGCACACATACACACACGCGCACACACGTGCACACACACATGCACACATGTGCACGCACACACCCATAGAGCACGGAATGGCATGTCCCGAACCTGAGCCACTCAAGCCCGTGTCCATCACTTTGTCACATCTAGACGTCACCTGCATTATTCACTTAGCATGTTTCTTCAAATTGCCCTGTTTATACCCAACCACATTTTTTACTCAGGAAAGGAATCTTTATTCCATCTCACAAAAGGAAAGCCACTTCGATGGTACCCATGAAAATAAAGCGGCGTTCCTTCCTGTGGCTCGTGAGCTCGGGGTCTGCCGGGACCAAGGGGAATTCCTCTGGGCTGAAGTCCCACGTGGAACAGGAGAGGTGGGCAGTGGCCCCTCGTTGCAGCCCCGTGCTGTTCAGGGAACAAGCCGCACCTACTGTCCATTCCCAAGGCACAGGGTGAAGGGAACCCCTGGGTTAGGCCGCAGGGAGGTGCACTCCGGGCAGCCACGGCTCGCTCGGGAGACCTGCCCCAGGGCACCTCACCCCTTGGTCTGGGGAGACAACGCCTGCAGAGCAGGGGGTCTGCGGTGAGTTCCCGCTGCCTGGCCTCCTGGGGCATCCCACCTGCAAGTGTACCCCACCTGTACCGCACCCATGGTGCACCTGCTCAGGCTTCCTCCTCCCGGTCCAGCCCTCCTGCTCCGCTCCCAGGACCACTTCCCAAACACAGTCTCACACACGCTCTAAAAATGCCCCCCTCACCCCCGCCACTGTCCCTGTGGTTTGCTCCAGGGCCAGCCCCACCCCTCGCCCACGCAGCCACCCGCCGCCCCCACTGCTGAGGGCCCCTCCAGCGCCCAGGGTCCCCACTCCCCCCAGGCTTTCCGTAGGCAGAGCCAGAGAGAGGAGCCCAGCCAAGCTTGCCTTTCCTTTCCAGCCCACGTGCCTGCCTGGAGGGACTTATTCAAGTAATGATGCTGAATATGGCATCTTGTTCACATTTCACCCCCGCCAAGGTACCTAACGAGCTTTCAAACAGGATGCAATGCTTGCAGAGCCGGCTACGAGGCAAGGCCACAGCTGGCGGCAGACTGGGGGTGGGAGGGCCAGGAGTTCGCGACGGATGGCAGACAGCTTTAGATGGGGGGCGCCATGCGAGCAAGCGAGCCCTGAGGTCCCAGCGCGCTTCACCGGTGTCCTTGTGTGGAGCGGCGGCAAGGCGCAGCCCGGCTCTCGGGCCTGCACACGTCTGCGTGGACAGGACGCCCGCGACCCACCGACAGCAGAGACACCAGAGCGGTGCAGGGTGGACCCGCTGTGCCTGGGGTGCCTGCCTGCGCGTCCGTGCTCCTGGAGCCCACAGCGCGGGGCTGGGCCTGGGGGCGCCTGCGAGGCGCACCGCGTACTCACTTTTTGGGCCTGTAGTCCGGGATGGTCCTGTCCAGGGAGATGCGGTCGCTGAGCTGAGCGTTGTACCCGTATTCCTCGTACTTGCTCTCCGTCTCCCGGCTGTCCTCCCGCAGCGTGGCCGCCATGCCGCCCTGGCCCAGGCCCCCGGGGCCCTCCACCAGGCCGATGGGCTTGGCGAGGCCTAGCGGGAAATGGGAAAGGGGGGTGGTCAGGCAAGCCCCCCACCCTCCTGCCCTCCCCAGCCCGGCCCCAGCCTCTGCCGGCCGCCACTTTCTTCCAGACCCAACTCTGGGAATTCAAGGAAAGTCTATTAATTAACATTTTTTTTTTCAATAAAAATAAGTTCACCTTAAGAATGCAAATTAGTTGCCCACCTGCTCCCTGACCCTTGAGGCTGTTGGTCTTTCTGACGTCATTGCACGGCCACCGTGGGACGCTGCCTGGAGTGTGTGCCCACAGTCCCCCGGGAGCCCCAGAGCGCCCAACACAGAGGACACTGGTGCCGCAGGGCCCTGCCTCGGAGGGTGGAGAGGGACGGAGCGGACCTGTGAGACCAGGCAGGAGGCACCTGTGCACACGGGCTCCCCGGGAAGGCCAGGCCTGGGGCCTGTTCTTCCGGAACGTTTCTCTAAGTGGTCACGTGTGCCAGAGAGGCGCGTGGGGACGGCACCCTGGCTCTCTCTGGGACGGGTGACTCTGGGGCATGCTGGCTCCCGGAGTGGGGCCCCACGGCACCGCAGTCCAACCCTCGGAAAGGCGGAGGGTGGAGAGGGACGGAGCGGACCTGTGAGACCAGGCAGGAGGCACCTGTGCACACGGGCTCCCCGGGGAAGGCCAGCCTGGGGCCTGTTCTTCCGGAACGTTTCTCTAAGTGGTCACGTGTGCCAGAGAGGCGCGTGGGGACGGCACCCTGGCTCTCTCTGGGACGGGTGACTCTGGGGCATGCTGGCTCCCGGAGTGGGGCCCCACGGCACCGCAGTCCAACCCTCGGAAAGGCGGGTTGCCCCCAAAGTGCAGACTCCTGGCACGCGGGCAGGGGGCTCTTCTCTGCGCCATCTGCCCCCTTAGGTTTGTTACAGGAATGAAACAAGGAGGCCGCGCACTGAGGGGCGCAAACCGAAATCCAAGCTGTACCAGCCTCACGCCGCAAACAAACCCCACCGACAGCCAGCCCTGTCCCCGACGGCCCCCCACCCAGGCCTCGTGGAGCGGATGTCCCGCCCCCGGAAACGCAGGCCCCTTCTCATTTGCCTGCGCTGCTGCCCGGCTTACAGTCCCGGTGCAGGAGGGGAGCCCAGGGCGCCTGGACCTCAGAGTTTTCTGGAATATTCCATCTCGAACCGGCAAACCTGAGTTGGTATTTATGTAGGACCGAAGGACACACTGAATGTAAAATTGAAAAATTGCATGACACATAAATCATTTCCGCTTCTTATTTTAATATTGCGAAAATACATATATAATCATGCTATTTTTAAACGTCTGTGCTGCATTTTCCACTTTGGAAAGTCTGTAAATAGCGGCCTCCCAAAGGCAGATGCGCCCCCAAACCTGAGGGGACAGCAGTGGTGCTGATCACCGCTGGGCCCCCCAGGGAGCTCTGCTGCCCAGCTGGGGGCTTGAGGGGGTGGAGCCCGGGGGTGGGGGGACCCGGAGTGGAGTGGGACCCGGGGTGGGGGCCAGTGTGTGGGGGTAGGAGGGGAGCCCTGGACGGTGGGGGCTGGGAGTGGGGCCTGGAAGTTGGTTGGGG